GTTTGTTTTTCAGAGTCCATCGTCTCTCATGGTTCGTCTACCCCTCCGATTTCCCCTGCTTCATTCTTCCCCTCCCGCTACCTTCTTCTTCTTCTTTTTTTCTTAACATATATTTAGAGCCTTTTTCTTATATAATAGAGCAGTCCCCAGGGAAATAAGAAGCTAGCAAGAAAGATCAGCGCGTGTGTACGGCATTTTTGCATGTCGCATGTTTGCTTAGGTGATCTAAGTATCCACTGAGTGGGAGGACAGAGGTGTCTGTTCTTTTCTATGACTCTGGAGACCTTGGTCTGGGGAGGGAGTGGTTGGTTGTGTTGTCTTGCCCATGCCTCTGTGGTCTTTACAAGGGTCGTACTTCTTCAGAGAAGATTAGGAATGCAATCAAGCTGTCCGACCTTAGATGCCTTGTGTTTCTATGGAGATGCTGGGTGGAAAAGACTTGGACCTGATCAGGCTGAACAAAATCAGGGTCAACAAAATGCAGAGAGGAAATGACTGTACTTTTCTTTTATAGCAGCCCTCCTGTCTATCTCTGAGACTTCCGTAAATAAGCAACTCCTCATAAATAAAACCCCAAGACAGTGATCACTCAAAAAACTGCTCAATTCTCTAAAGAAGACATTTTTCATACTGAATATTGCTTAAGATATATAGACTTTCAGTGGGGCTTTTTTTTGATGATTTTATTTATTTATTTGACAGAGAGATAAGCGAGAGCAGGAACACAAGTAGGGGGAGTGGGAGAGGGAGAAGCAGGCTTCCCACCGAGCAGAGAGCCCGATGCAGGGCTCAATCCCAGGACCCCGGGATCATGACATGAGCCGAAGGCAGACGCTTAGTGACTGAGCTACCCAGGCGCTCCTCAGTGGCTCTTGAAGAGAGGGAAATCACATCATAGAAGTCTCGAATTTGAGGCACCCGAGTGGCCCAGTCGTTGAGCATCTGAGTCTTGGTTTCGACTCAGGTCATGATTTCATGGGTCATGAGATCGACTAGGTGGAAGAGGGAGAAGGCATAGTCTGCCTGAATGCACTCAAATTCAGCTTCTTCTAAAACTCTGTGCCGCCCCAGAGAAAGGAATCTGTTGTCTGTCTCTAGCCCACGGGCCACATGTCGTGACCCTAATCAATACAGAATCAATTGACTTGGCTTTTCAGTTGTCATCTCTCTCCTCTCCTCCCTCAATTTTGTAGCCCTGCAGAAATCAGAGGAGTATTTAGTCTCTGCCAATCTCTCACTTTAAAGGTTCCTTATTTTAATTCTGTGAAATTCCATTTACGTGGTTCAAGCAGCTTTCCTTGCTCGCACTTTCTTTTGGCCTTTTCTCTGAAAGAATTTGCCTTGACTTTTCCTTCTGCAGGAAGCGACAATGCCAAGCTATCGCTGATGAACAAGTACAAGGATAACATCATTGCCACCAGCCCCGTGGACTCCAACCACCAGCAGGCCACTCTGCTCTCGCACACCTCCAGCAGCCAGAGAAAGCGGATCAACAACAAGGCAAGAGGTATCTGTGTCTGATGGGAGGGCTTGCGGGTGGCGGTTTCCTTAATATCGGTAGAGGCAGGACCATTCATATCCTGGACCCCTGACACTCAGGCATGGCTAGAGGGTGTGTGTTTGAGCCCAGGCTTTCTGGAAGCCTGTTGAGTGTTACTTAGCCAAAAAACTTAAATGTACAAACCTCTGACCAAGTAATTTCATAAACAAGAATTAATCCTTAGGAAATAATTGGACAAGTGTGCAAAGCCGTGTGTAAAAGGCTGTTCCTCACAACATTGTTTAAAAGAGCGAAAAATTGGAAATAGCTTAAGTGTCCATCAGTAGGGAATTGGTTAGCTACCTGCACATCTGTCTATCGTCCAGTGGCTTATCATGCAGCCATTTAGGATGATACGATAGATCCGTATTTGTTCATATGGGAAGTTGCCCACCCATTTATTAAATGGAAAAAAAAACCCGAGCAAAATGCCATTCGTAAGGGGAGATTAAAAAACCTTTATCTATTTCTGTATCAGAAAAAGACAACATATACGTCAAATGTGAACAGAGTTTTTCTCTGATTGACAGGATTTAGGGGATATTGGGGTTGTTCTTTTTGCACATTTCTCTGTATTCTCTTTATTATTTTTTTTCCTGTTTATCCCATTGAATGCATATTAATTCCAGGACCAGAGAAAAGCTTTTGAGGAGGGAAATTTCCCTTCCATCTCTTTCCACCCCCCATCCATGAAGGCCATCTCTGGTGGCGGGGGTGGGTGGGGGGCGGCGGGGCGCGGATGGAGCGGGGAGCCTGGGCTGGCTGGGGGTGGGCTCCGGTGACCGCTGTCACGAAAAGGTCCACTTCTCCAATAAATCTGGGTATCAGGAAGCTCCAGCGTCTGTGACTACTGCTCCCAAATTGTCAGTCAGCCTGCTCTTGTTTTTATCGATTTTTCTCTTGAACATGCCCAGTGATTTGGTGTCATGAAGAAAAAACTGAAGATGTCGACTGTGCTGTGCTTCTTTTCATTATAGCTGGTTCCGCCTTCCTGAACCCTGAAGGAGATTCTGGCCCCGAGACAGAAAACGACCCCCAGCTGACCTTCTACACCGACCCCTCGCGGAGCCGGAGGCGCAGCAGAGGTGGGAAGGTTGGAGAGGTCACAGCGGGTGGTGGGGCTCCGGGCAGGGGAGGCGAGGAGCGGCACAAGTGCTGGGTCGGGCGGGGGGCTGTGTGGACCAAAGCCACTTTCTGCAGGAAGCATCCCTGGACCACAGCTGGTACTTCCTCCTAAGGAAGAAAGAAGAGCCTAGAGTGGAAAATTTCTGAGAATCATCTCTCCCAGATAATGGCGCTCTCAAACAAGTGTTCAAGTTGTTTGAAAGGCTATTTCTTGGTCAGAAGACTCTCAATTCCTTCTGGAAGCCTCAGGAGTCATATTTTGCTGTTTAGACACAGGAAATAAAGTTGATGAAGTGTGTTGTATGTGAAAATGTGGACGGTATATGTACTCTTGCTTGCACAGCCACGCTGGCCTTGGGATTGGGCGAGGCAGCGGCGGGGGGGCAGGGTCGCTGAGGAATGATCCTTGTGTAATGGTATTTGACCTCCCATCCCCTCCCCGGCAGCATCATGGGACCCCAAGCCTCCAAGTCCCCTCCGTTCTCCCGGCAGGGTTCCGGTGAGTTCATGCACTCTCCTCAGTACTGCTAGAGCTGTCCTTCCGTGCAGATGCTCCCCGGGCCACTGCCCCTGATGTTCAGGTGTGGCGGTGGCAGATGAGGTGCCCCTGCCCATGACCTTGCTGGTGGCACTCTTGTCACTGAGGGAGGTCTGGGTTCAGTAGGCTTCACCGTTTACTTGCTGTGTGATATTGGAGGAGAACAACAGCTTCTCTGAGCCTGTTTCCTCATATAGGAAGTGTGTTAACAATACCTCACACACAGGGATCCTGAAAGCATTAAATTCTATTAAAATGTGCTTTTTGGGTGACTGGCAGAGCGCTATGCAGTCCCCATTGTCGATGCTCCCAGACCTCTCTGCAGTGCAGCCTCAGGCTTGTGCAGCACTCCATCCTAAGGAATTTCGGACAGGGACCTGTTGAGATACAGTGGGGGATGTTTGAGTGGCCTCCCCCTGTGTTATACCCAATGGCATTTTTCCCCAACCAATAATCAGTCAATGCCCCCCAAAAGACATTTACATTTTGCTCTCTCCTACCTCTACTTGAGTTCCTTCCTCACTGAGGGCATTCTGCCAGAGATTGGAAGCAGCCCTTTTAATTCCCCAGGTCCAGTTTCTCTAAGCTTTGCTATTATTGGGACAAAATTCCTTCCCAGCATTTTTCTCAAGAGATCAGTGGGGCTCTGGGCAGCCTGACGTCTGATGCCCCAGTATCCTTGAGGTGAGAATGTGGATCCCTTGATCCTCTTTATATATTCATATACAGCTGATAGTCAACCTCGGCCCGTCCAACTCTGAGCAGGGTGTGTTCTGCTGTAATAAAATCCTGTTTAAGAAAATCCATAGTAATGAATTAGAATGAGTTTCTTTGCGGCATAAAACTGTTCCTTTAAAATACCAAGCTCTCCTAGTACATCAACTGTTTATTGCTATTAACTAGACTGTAAGCTTCTTAGGGATGGGCATGTCTAATTTATTTTTCCAAAGTGACCAGTGAAGGATTTTGCCTATAATAGATGCTTGTAAGTGTTTGTTGAACTGAACTGAATACATCAATCAGGCCGGCAAGAAATTTTATAACTCACCTGCCATAGGTCAGGCTTTGTGATGGGAGGTAGAATCATGAAAACATGGCACAGTGATAAGGCTTAATTTAATATTATAAATAAAGTAAAATGAGTACTCAGAGGACAGAACAGGTCATTCTACCTGGCAGCAATAGGAGACAAAGAAGGAGAAAATAATTAGACCTGGGTTATATACAATGTGTAGAATTTCTTGAAAAAGGAAAATCTAGGGTAAGGACATCCCAGTAAAGAAAATAGCATATAGAAAGCCTGGACGGCACAAAAGAACATGGTAATTTTAAGCAAGTGAAAGTAGTTCTGTATAGCAGGTGTAAGAACATAGGCCACGGGGTGGTAGGGACGGGCCTGGGTAACAGGCCAGCTCCCCGAGGACTACACCTGCATCATGAGTTTGCACTTTGTTCCGTAGGTCACAGGGAACCGCTGGACATTTTGAAGCCAGTAGAGGTGTTGTATGATGGGTGGATGATACAGAAGGACCAGGGAGGCAGGAAGATGAGTAGCAAGTTATTGCAATCACATGAGAGCAGGAGCAAGTACCCGTAAACAGTGACAACACCGTGTGATAAAAGCTTTAACAGCAGGGTGCACCCAGGGCTAGAGGAACAGCAAGGGATGAGTGAGAATCTGCTCTTAAAGGTTTCAGGGAAGTGTTTACAAGGAGATGCTGTTGGAGCTGAGGCTTGAAGAGTAGGTGTATACCGGGCTGACAAGGTGACAAAATGGCATTCTGTGGAGGAGGAAATGATATGTGCAAAGTCACAGAGACATAAACGATAATGGTCTAGTCAGAGAGTGGGAAAGAGTTTACTAGAATGAAGCGTACGGTGCAGGTTTGCAGTTTGCTTAGGAAATAGGCTGGACGATCAGGAGACAGCACGCGCCTTGACCGGAGGACTCTGACCTAACGCTTCGGTTGGTGCCACTGGAGGCTTTTCAGACCAGAGGCGTCGCCCTGGTCTGCTCTGCTTCGTAAAGGGTGCCTATGAGCCCCTGCGGAGGGTAGGCGACGGTGGGGGACGTTGAGGCAGGGAGACTAGGCACATGGCTCTTGCTGCAATCCAGGTGTGCGATGCCGGGCACAGGTCGGGATGGAGAGAATGAAGGCAAGAGAAACTTTGGACACAAGATGGAACCAGATTTAATGGCATCGGAAGGGGGGAGGGCATGGCTTATGTAACGGAGGGCAGGGTCAGACAAGGTGGAGTTTTCCGACTGGAGAAACCAAGTAGCTCAGGGCGCCATTCTCCGGGTGGTGGAAATCGAAGGAAGAGGGAGAGTCCAGTTCCGCATTCGAGTGCCTGGGGGATGTGCTGGATGGTGGCAGATCTGTTGCTGCTCAGGTCCGGTTTGGGCTGGGGATAGAGATTTGTAAGTGTGGGAAAATAGACCCCTTGGGGAAAGGATCCTAAGGTGAAAAGAATATCTCTAGGTAGCAGGGGACAGAGGATCCAGAGGCTGCCTGCCACCCTGCGGTCTCTCATCCCAGCTCCTGCCAGCACACCACTCAGGGCACCTGCCGCCATAATGGGTGGGTGCCGCCATGGACCCAAATCTTCCCTGTGGTCCCGAGAACAGCCATTCCAAAGACTCCCCTGGGCCCAAAGATTGAGTAGTGCCCTGTCTGGGCTGCCGCCTCAGCTGGACCCCTGCCTCGATCCCGGCTCCTTAGCAGCGGCTTGACCCTGGACGTGCCCTGTCGCCTCTCTGATTGTCCCTCGTGGGAGCTGCCTCATCAGACCATGGTCATCGTTAAGTGATATGAGCCATGTAAAGCCTGCGCGCTGGCGCCTGACACATAATTACGCTTCATAAATTTTAACTGTCACTATGAGTTTGATCTCTTTGAGACTTATTTTCCTTACTGTGAAGGAAGTAGGTAGTTACTGTCCAGACTCCTAGATTTATTCTAAGGAAGCAAATAATAAAAATAAAATAATAATGTATGCAAAGCACTTCACCCAATGTCTGACATAATAGTTGCCTTTTATTTCTATCAGTCATAAATGCCAACACAGACCAGACCATAAGAAAATGACAAAGGACACATTTTGTTGGCCACTTGCCTTGCTTTCTTACTTCCCCACATCTGTTCTGCCTCCACGTGAAATTTCCCTCTTGTTACTACCATTTTATCCTCTGCACAAAAACCAGAAACAAAGACACACCAAGAAAACCTTCCTTCCTATTCCTGTCCGCACCTGCCTGTAACTGTCTCCTCAGCATCCTTATTTGCTCACTAAGCTGCCATTTATAATCTCTGACTGCAGGACTGGGGGGGCCCTTCAGGCATGACAACATCCCCTACACATACAGAGCAGACTTTCCTCCTTCCCGGTCCTATAGACAAAGAGTCACCTGTAGGAATCCCACCCACAGAGCTTGGAAAGTTCCTCAGGCGGCAGTTGGAGAAGTAGTTTGAGCCATGGGAGGAAGGAGCTGGTTTGTGAGAGCACCCTCTGTGCAAGAAGCAGGGAGAAGCGCAGAGAGTTCTAGCACGTGGTGGAAGCATCCTCTTGGGCAAGAGGCTGAGCTCAGCCAGGCGAGCAGCAGGGGAGAATGCCCTCCTTTATGATTTCTTTGCGAGCCTGTCCCAGGAAGAGTGCAGTGAACTTGCACACAACTGACTGTTGTTGACCCCAAGGGCCACCAGTAGGCTAAGTCCCTCTGACTCTAGCGGCCGACATGGTGTTCCATGAGGATGAAGCTCACTGGGGTCATGAGCCAGAACATTCCCCGCCTGGGCTAGGTTTGCCCAGCGCCTCCCCTGTTTGCTTATTTGGGCAGCAGAGCCAGATTAGCCTCCCACTGCCAAGACTCTTACCGCAATGTGTCTTGCTTGTATCTTGCTTCCAGTGGGCTCTCCCCGAAGTCCTGTGAATAAGACCACCTTGACGCTGATCAGCATCACCAGCTGTGTGATCGGCCTCGTGTGCGCCTCCCATGTCAGCTGCCCCCTCGTTGTCAAAATCACCCTGCACGTCCCCGAGCACCTGATCGCCGATGGTAAGCTCGCTTGCGAGGATGCGGCTTCCTCCCCAAAGGGGAAGTTTTCATGTTGGGCCAGGAAGATAGAGAAGCCAGGGCTCACTGTTACTTATTACTGTAAGTGAGGGAAAAATAAACCCAGATAAGTAAGGCTTAGGACAAATTTGGATTGTCCACAGATGAAATCAGAAAGCAGGTTAAAAAAAAAAAAAAAAAGCCCATAAAATTGAACAGATTACCTCCTCTTCTCTATGCCCACTCCAATTTCTCATTTCTGTTTGCTTTAAAATAAGTCCCTATCTTTGTAGAGAAGTACAGAGCATGCTAGATACAGGTAGATAGACACCGAGAGATTCTCTGGCTTTGGGGAAGGGAGAAGCTAAGTGGAGCTGTGGAGATGATTAAGAATCAGCCATGCTTCGGTTTGGTATGCCCGGGTGAGAAATTCCCGATTGCAGTAACTTGCTAAAAGCCTAGAACTCTGAAGCAATAATTTCCTTTCGTTCTGGGGGACCCCAATATAATGAGGGAGTAGTATGGGTTCAGGAGGCCCTGAATTCGTGAAGCCCAGAGTACCTAATTGACTTGTTAATGTCTCTTCTCTCTGCTGCTAGAAGGCTGAAAACAGGTGGGGACTGTCCGCACTATTAGAGGGCCTGCTATTTCATGGCAAGTGGAGACCAGGCAGCAGTTCCCTGCTCCTTGGGTGAATGCCAGTGCCTATGGCTGGGTCTGATGGAGCCATGCCGTGGCCATCACAGAGCTGCTCTGTCCCAGTATTCCCTAGGTCCACCCTGATAGAGATGGGATCGAGCAAAGCAGCAGGGGATGATGGAGCAAGGGCAGCAGGAGGTCCAAGTGGTGGCCGAGGCTCCATCTGCTGATCCCTTGCTCAGGGGCTCATGACAGGCCAGGGCTGGTAGGAGTAATGACCTCGGATTGGGCTAATCTGTGGAGCATCCTTTACTCTGTCTTGACTGATGCACGCACGTGTGCGTGTGTGTGTGTGTGTGTGTGTGTGTGAGTGTTGTTGTGTGCACCCACAGGCATGCCTCCTCTCTCTCTCCTGCAGGGAGCCGCTTCATCCTGCTGGAGGGGAGCCAGCTGGATGCCAGTGACTGGCTGAACCCAGCTCAAGTGGTGCTCTTCTCTCAGCAGAACTCCAGTGGGCCCTGGGCCATGGACCTCTGTGCCCGGCGGCTCCTAGACCCCTGTGAACACCAATGTGACCCCGAAACTGGTAGGCAGGAGCACCGGGCAGCGGGTAACTGTCAGAGTTCATGCCTCTTGCAATCACCCCCCTTGGAAATCCAGACATAGTCTCCCGATGTTTCCATTGCCTTCGGGGGCCTAGGCTGTGCAAGCTGCCAGTGTGTGGTTGGGACCCTAAACATGTTGGCTTAAAATGTGTTGTCTTCTGGCAGAAACCTTGGAAATATCCTATCTGTAGCTCCAACTCTGTACCCCAGACAGGCCAGTTTAGGATGACCTGCACCATCCATTTACCATCCCATCAGCGGATGTCAGCTGCTGGGGCTAGACTTTTTATGCATGTTTATTGTAGAAAATTTGAAAATTTAGAAAAGCTTATAGACAAAAATGATAATCATCTATAATTCTATCTCCTGAAGAAATCATTTTAAAATTGTAATGTCCTCCCTTCCGATCTTTTATCTGTGCATGAGTTTTAGAGACTTATAAGCACACTAAGTCCACTAGCGTTTTCTTGATTTTGTCACTTCACATTCTACCATGAAATTTTTCCAGAACCATTAAATAATTCTCAATAACATAATTTTAATGGCTATTTGGTATTCCATTGTATGTCCATATCATAGCTCATTTAAATAGTTCCCTATTATTTGACATTTAAGATGCTTCAAATTTTTAATTTTTACAAATACTGCCAAAATGAATATCTTTCCACATAAATGCAGGGCACATCTGAAGTTATTTTCTTTAGATAAATCCTAGGAGAGAGATTACTGGGGCCAAGGGGAGAGACATCTCTCAGGCTGTCATGTTATTGGATGGGGTTGGGGCTTCCCCGAGAGGGTCCACATGCGGACACGGCATGCCCAGAGCTTCATGAGCTCCGCGATCCTGAGGAGTGTGGGCCCCTCCTTCCAAGTTGCTGTGCACTTTCCTTGTAGAAGGTATTCATCTACAACAGTCTTCATAAAGACCTGGTTCCAGTAGATTCAGTACCACAAATAGATCCTTCCCAGAGAAGTGTGAGACCCTAGAACAAAGGAAGGCATGTAATGGTAGCTAAGACCCCCAAGGGAAATGTTGGGAGTTGGGGACCAATTCCTCCAACTCTCTGTACCTCATGTACAGCTCCTTCTTCTCCACCACACACACACACACACACACACACACACACGTATATACATGTACATGCACAAACGTACCCATATACACATACATACATATGCACACACATGCACACATATACACACATACATACGCACATACACAGTGCACACACTCACCCCTACAGATGCATTTCTCTCAGGTGCTGGGGTGGAGGGCTATTAGTAGAGATGGAGTCCAAGAGATAGAGCCCTGCTTCTGTAACAGTGCATTGCTGTATGTCTTTGGGAGGGTAACAGGCGGCAGCAACATCCAAAGTTCACCTTCTTAGGTGTTGTTCTAAGAGTTGTTTTCACCTGGGCCCATCGTAGGGATTCCAGGCCCCCATATGGAAGAGAAAGTATAGAATTTTAAACATCTGATGTCTAAGACTGTGCTTACTTACTGCTCTTCCCACGCTGTCAGGCAAACACCAAATCAAACAGATGGGCTGTGCACCAGGCCCAAAAACCAGTGTGCTCGGGAGAAAGGGAAAAAGGCTTGTCTCCAAGGCGGGGCCTTTCTGTTCAGCAGAGCTGGTCTGTGGTCCCCTCCGGCTGACTTGGAGTGGGAGATCCTGGGACAAGCTCAGGGCTTCAACTCACCTCTGAGAAAAGCCTCATCTCCAGAGGACCTTGGAAGGTTCTCCTGAGGTTTTAAAGAACAGGAAGCACATGTAATTACATGTGGGGGGGAAGCGATTGGTGTTTTGAGCATGGAGGGGTCTTAGAGAGAAATGAGCTGCTTGAGATCACTGTGTGAATTCCCCCAAGAATATACATAACTCACCCAAAGCCCCACGGTTTCCCAAGACATAGTCCGTGTTCCATCCATCATGAAGTCAGAGCAGAGGTGGGATTTTTAAGGGCTGCTTGATTTCCCCAGACATGTCAGATCCAACGTATTTGTCGTGGAAGACTGTGTAAGCAGCCATCACTACTGAGCATGCTACCCGAGCCAGGAGCTGGGGCGACTCCTTGTCCACGGTGAAGTTCCCATCACCTGCTTCTTCAGTCTTCCCAGGCGTCTCAGTTCTAATCCTTGCTGAAAATGACTGTGGGAAGCCCTCCTCTGCTAGTGGTTTCCCAGTATCTGTGACAATTAATGAATATCCAACCGGAAGGCCAGGAGGGAGACTGCAGAGAGGAACCCAGATCCCACACCAGAGAACTAAGGTGCAACATCTTCATTTGGGGGGGGCAGCTGAGAAATGCTGCTGCGGAGACTTTTATTTTCATTAAAGCTGGAAAAGGAAGCTGTCCCCCTTCCCGCCCTGCTTCTTCCTGCACATGGGATGATGTGGTCAACCCACATGCTCATCAGTAAGAAACTTTATCGCCTCCCACACTCCATCCTAGAGCCTTTCTCCTCCAAAGAGATGAGTGTGGGAATTGGCTGCAAGTCAAGCCGACGTTATTTTTGCAACCCTCCAGCTAACTCACTTGGAAATGTCATAGTGTTGGGACATGTGCTTTCCCAGCCATGCTGAGGGGTCTGCCCATATGGAGATGTGGGACTGTGCAAGTGCACGTGTGTACTTCTTCACACACGCACTGCACAAACACACAAACACACACACTCAGTGACTGCAAAGGAGCATCCTCTGGGGCCTGGAGCTCTCCTCAGGCAACCTTCCAGAGGGTTCCAGAGTTAAGCATATGTTTACTCATCACCTGCACAGTGGTCCCGAATAGCAGCTGTAGTAGGCAGAATATTGGGACCCTGAAGATGGGCTCCTCCTCATCCCTAGGACCTGTGAATGAGTTATGTTAAATGGCAAAGATGAATTAAGGTTGCCAAACAACTGGCTTTAAAATGAGGAGAGTAGGGGCGCCTGGGTGGCTCAGTTGGTGAAGCGTCCGACTCTTGGTTTTGGCTCAGGTCATGATCTCAGGGTTGTGAGATCGAGCCCTGAGTTGGGCTCCCTGCTCAGTGGAGAGTCTGCTTGAGATTCTCTCCCTCTGCCCCACCCCCCGCTCACTCTAGCGCTCTCTTGCTCTCTCTCAAATAAATAAATCTTTAAAAAAAAATAAAATAAAATGAGGAGAGTATCTTGGATCAACTAGGCAGGCCCAGTGCAATCACAAGGGTACTTAAAAGTGGAAGAGGGAGGCAGAAGAGGAGGCCAGACCCTACCACACGAGATACTAGAAGGACTCCACCAGCCACTGCCAGCTTTGAAGCTGGAGGAAGGGGGCACGATGTAAGGAAATGGGGGCAGCCTCCAGAAGCTGGAAAAGGCAAGGAAACAGATCCTCCTCTCAAGGCTCCGAAAAGGAACATAGCCCTCCGGACCCCTTTGTGTTTAGCCCCGTGAGACTTACGTCAGACTTCTGACCTACAGAACTGTAAGATAATAAATTAGTGTTGTTTCAACCACTAACTTTGTGATCATTGTCATGGCACCTGTAGAAACAGGAGGAGGAAAAAGGCAGAGAAAGGACAAGCGTCATTATGCTCCTCTTTGTAGCTCCCCAGCCCCATTTATAGAGGCCACATAGACCTTCCAAAAATGTGTCAGGAGTCTACAGAAGCACTGAAACTGGAGGAAGCTTGCTGATCTGTTTTCCCTTACAGCCTCCGTTCTACATTCTAGCAACACACTGTTTGGGAGGGATGTAAGTTACCTAGAACTGTGAGCCCAGTGCCTGGAAGCTCTTGGCCAACTGCACACTGACATTCTTCCCCAGATCCTCCCAGGTTTGTGACCCTAGGTGTGTCTCCGGCCCAGGCAGGCCACCGCTGAGGTTGGATGGCTTAGTGCCCTAGCTGGAGGCAGCCAGAAGTTGACTTTTCCTTTACCTTCTAGGGGTTTTTCTTACAGTTGTCTGTTGGCTCGCTTGCTTGGCTTTTGATGGAAACACAGACTAACTGTGTTTCAGCAGCATTTCTTACCCCTCCATTTCCTGGCTTTGTTCTGCCTGTTGGGCAGCTGCAGACACTTCACACACCTACTTGATTTCATAGCTCCCGCCAGCCCTGGCCACAGACCCTCACTCCCCTTTTCAAGATATGTAGCTTTTACAGGTCTGCAAGGAGCACAGGCTCCCAAGCTAAATCAAATTTTAATTGCCATCCAAGATTGCCATCCCCAGGCATTCCTTCTACCCCAGATCTCTCTAGAGGCCAGTTCTAACCACAGAGAAATATGTAAAATTTGGCGAGGGGCATTGGACCAGTTTTCCAGACTCAATCTAGTCCTCTCCTTTCCTTGGTCTGAACCACTGCCTCTCTCTCTCTCTCGAACCCAATCTGGCATGGTAGCACACAGCTCCCATTTTGTTTCTGCCACGTGGATTGCCCACTCTTTCCAGACTCCCTTTTGTGGCTCAGTGAAAGCACCTTCCTTTGGGACGTACTTTGGCATATTCCCCTCTGTCTGCCCACCCAGAGTCATGCGGGGCTATTTGACTCTGGGCCTGCCTCTTGCCTGATGTCTCCACAGCGGGCGAGGCCAGGCAGTTAGACATTACCCAAGTCCAGATGTCTTCCAGAGATTTCCCTTTTCAGAGGGAGTACATCACCCAGTTCCATTTAATAAAAGCCAATGGCGACCTGAAGGATAGGTGACTCGGGGCTTTTGGCGCGGTCAAGTCCAGCCCAGTCGTGTCTGAGGAGCCCTAGCTCCAAGGTTTTGTGTTAATCCTTTGATGAACTTTGCCCCTCAGTCCTTGACCTGTAGAGTGGGAAATGAGGGAAGGCACAGGCGCCATACAAACCACTTCATGGCATCCGACCTCAGGGTACCAAGCACAAATCCAGGGTCGCCATTTCCTGGCCCTCCCTGTAGGGCGGTCACCCGTGCGTGCCTCCTGCAGGGTACACTCCCTCCCAGCCGGGCACTTCTCCGTGGCCGTGACATGTCCCTCCATTGGATTCCTGCGAACACCGCCACCGAGTCGGCACGTCATGTGTTCCCCGCCATCTGTCACGGCAGATGCAGAGACTGTAACACTTCTAGCTTAGGAGGGCATCCAACACCCTTGTGGGGTCTTTAAAATTCACAGCTAACAGTCGGAGCTCGTGCTTGCACGAAACCCCTCTTAAAGTCAAGATTTAGCATTTGGTTGCCATAGCAACTTTCCTCATCAAGTCTGAACTCCTCTCAGTGTAGATGGCCAAACTGGTTTTGAGGAGGAAGGCAGAAGGGGGACGTTTGGTGGGTTCCGGAAATGAGGATCATTTGAGACGCAGATTTTGGATCTCCTCAAACTCGAGCCCGATATGTTTGAAAATGTCTCTGTTGCTCTGACTTTGGGCTGCACATGACATTATACGGAGGAAAGCTTTCTCTCTTGTCAGCGGTGTCCCCACATAGTCATGAGTGATGAAACATCATAAGGAGATAATGACTTTGAAGGCAATTTGAGAAAGGTAAATGCGCTCTACAAGTGGTACATATTGCCATCATTAGGTAAATCGGGCTCTGCTTGAACTCTGAGTTGTTGGTGCATTTATTTTTACATGTTTTGTGGTAACTAGATATCAAACGTGGGAGGACTCCCTTTTTTGTCAGTCCTTATTTCTAGGGCGAGCCCTCGAGTCAAGACCCTTCTGAGACTCGGAGTGATGGGTCCGACAACCTCTTGAGGTTACTTCCTGGTTTTTAATGTCACACAAGGACAGTCGGGAGATGATCTTCTGAAGGGAGAAGCACGTCTGTGCCCTAGACCCATTAATTGCCTTTGATCTCTCTATCTTGAGAATGGTGGTAGTGGTGTTATCTATAAATGCAGGGTAAAAATTTTAAGTTAATTAATTAATTTTCCATTACACACTGTACAAAATCGCTACTTGTGCAGAAAAACGAAACTTGTTCCTGCCCTTGTGTAGCTTATAGTCTTGAACCCCTGCTTTCCTTGAGATTGGTAAGATAGGAGGCCCGGCTCCTTGGTGATTTTCTTCTTTTATGACCCTCTGGTACTTGCCTTCTTTATCTTTCCTTTTCCCAGAGAAACATCCTTCATCTGAAAGCTTTATTATCATCTTCCTAATTTCAAGCTTTGTTTTCCTATGTTCCACCCCTACCTCCCTGACCATTCCTAGATATAGCTCATCACCCCTGAAGCCCGTGAATTTGAGCCTTTTGCGAATCTAACTCATGTGAAGCCTGAGTGTCCCATACAGGAAAGAGAGTACTGACCTCATACTCTGAGTAGAGCCCCCACAAACTAAGAAGTTGCTAATTTTCACTTCACTCCTCAGCACCTTGAGCTAAGCAGGTGTGGGGGGAAGAAAATGAGTGTTATCTGGTAGTGGGGCACTGATGGGGAGTAGCTTACAGGTCCATCTTGAAAGGAATGGTTAAGCTTAGATCTTAACAAAAAACTCATTGCTTTAGAACCTATCCAACCCCTTCCCTCATACCTGTGGGGCCCCTTTGCTTCATTTTTATTGGTTTTTGTCTTTGAAAAGAGAAAATAGCACTCAAAGCTATTATTCTATGTGTATCCTTTTTTAAGTGTCTCTTGCTAGAAGGATGAAGAAACTGTATGCCCCTTGTCTCCTTAGGGTAAGCCACTTTTGTTATTTACCAATTATAGGAAGTCACACCCTGTTCTTTTACCACCTACGAATTAACCAGCCAGTGAAAGAGTTAACACTCATGCTGAAGTGGGACTGGTCCCAGCAGTTTAGGGATACATAACATTACATAACGAATTATTAATATAGGGGAACAGGAGCAATTTTTTTCAAGATCAGTGCTAAGTCGGGCAATGATTCTTCATCTTTGGGGGTCTCGAGTTTGCTCATAAATCAGAATAAACTTATGGAACCCTGCCGTGGGAGGATGCACATACACACATACACGGTTTTGCATACAATTCCAGAGGGGTTGTGAACCCCTTGGTATATTAATAGAGTAACTAGTGGCAATGAAGCATAGTAATATCCAAAACAAATAGAGAATTGTGGATGGTTCTTCTGTTTAACAGCTCCAAAATCATTAGCCATTTTCATTTGAAAACAAAGACCCAGAGTTCCTATAAAACCGTAACAGGTATAAGTGGCCTCCTCTAACCATGGAGTTGTTCCATGGGCTAACAGCACGGCATGGTGGGAATAAAGTTCCAGAGCCAGAGAGTCATAGATTCAAATGTTGACTGCCCTTAAGCTGTCTCCAGATCCCTTCATTTTTCTGAGCCTCAGTTTCCCCTATTGGCATAGCACAGCTAATAACACCTACTTTTCAAGTTTCTTAGAAATATTTGATGCGCTAAGTCACTTAGGTGCTCTTTAAATACTCATTGATCACCTAATATGTGCCTGGCAAGAGACTAGGCACTGAGCAAATCAGGATGAAAAAGTCCTTCTACTCAAAGAGTTCTCAGTCTTTGTTTTTACAGAGCACATAGAGTAGGTTCTTTGTAAATGTTGGGTTCCTCCACTAGTGAAAATCAGCACGTAGTAGAAAATGGAGAGACTGAGGGTGTGTTCATTCATGTGGGTGGTAGAGACGGGGATGTGTGACATGATGGGATTTATCGTTTCATCCACACCACTATTAGAGTCGGAGTTTAATCTGATCATTTCATATTCATTTTCTCAAACAGACATGTTAATCAATTGCTTCATGTTTCTTCTTCCTACCCTGGTTCTAAGGGGAATGCCTCTGCTACGAAGGTTACATGAAGGATCCAGTACACAAGCACCTTTGCATTCGGAATGAATGGGGCACAAACCAGGGGTAAGTGCAGGGGATGGCAAGTGAGCCAGTTCCCTGATGTCACCCTTCTTTGGAGCCATAGCGTGCAGGGGAACGGAGCTAAAGGGTAGTTATATTCTGAATCGCGAATGGGTAAAAATGTCACCGTGCATTTCCATATTTATACCATTCCAGTGACGTCCGTGTCATCTTTTTCTCCATTTACGAGTTCAGAGATGATGCCTCTGACTCGCAGCCCCAAAGCCTCCAGCTGGGATCTGAAAATCAAGCTGTCCCTGTCTTCTTTTTCATTCCACTGCCAGCCACCAGGATTCCACAGGCAGAACTTAGCTGATGATTTTGTTGGAGATGCACAAAGCCACACAGACTCCCATGTGGCTCTCCCAGAGCTGGAGGAGCTTTGAGAGACGGACATGAGGAGAAACGTGTTTTCCCCATCACTGTCAGCCAGGATGACGTGTGGGTGATGTAAGGGTACTTCTGCCAGATCCCCAGTCACCCTTTCTCTCTGAGACCTTTGCTTTCCCCCAAGCACACATGACTGGGAGAAGAGTTCCCAACCTTGCCTTGTTTTTTTCTTTTATTTTTTACATTTAAAAAATTGATAAAATCTACATCCCGTAAAATTGACCATTTTAATCATTTTGAAGTGTACAATTCAGTGGCATGAAGATCATTCACATTGCTGAGCCGCCATCAGCACTGTGTGTCTTCCTTCGCTTTTTAGAGGCAACTTTCTACTCTGTTTTGGGTGTTGAGAGCCTGCTTTCTGCATTGGCTCACTCGTGGAGCAGGGTGGGAAGAGAAAGGGATCAATAAACACTAACAATAGCAGTCAATGGAACAGGGAAACTAGAAAGAAATCAAGGCACAAGCCATCTGAGAGTGATTGCTTTTGTGCAGGTTGGAAATGTGTTTGCAGCCTGACAAGGTGGAAAAAAGGCACCACCATCATTTCATACATTGCCATGGAGGACTCCTATCCCCGAGGTCGATGATCAGCCCCCTCTGTAGGATCCTGATGAGACCGAGCCTAGAATAGGGAGTGTAGTTCTGGACTCTCAAAGCAATAAATATGGAGACAAATGGGTGAGAGTTTGGAGAAGAGCAATAAAAATGATTGAAGAGCCCAAGGGAGTGATTTATGATGAAGGATAGAAGGACTCAACTCAGAGAACTGGCCAGCTGATGACAAAGTCAAGGCATGATAGATTCCCATCGACGTTAGAAGAGGGCAAATGTTCTGGAACTGGTTGAGGTTGAGGAATAAGGACAAGAGAGAATGAAGTTAGGGGAAGGAAATCTGAGTCACAGGTCAGAAAACTTGAGGAAGTCAAAATGCCATGAAATTCTTCTGTTGGTGAAAGTGAAGGATTGCTCTGTTTCTGTTGAACTTGAGATCGTATCAGAGAGGCCATCCCCTGGATTTGGAGGAAGGTGTTTGTAGAGGGTATAAATACACATGAGGTTGTGTGTTGTTGAAAGATGGGTGGGGAGGGCCGAGGACTTAGCTAATAGATGTCAGGTGGGGTATGAATACAGAGGGCCATTCGCTGTTTAGAGTTACCTTAGTCCCCTCACTCTCTGACCCCTGAAACGTTTGCATCGCGGATGAGGAGCCAGGATTTTAGCCTACGTGATGGCCAAGCATCTCGGTTGGCTATGATTCTTACTGAGTAAAATGTTGTAAAGGGTGATGGATAACCGGCTCTCTATCTCTTAGCCTGCAAACTTGCTGCTGAAGAAAACAACGACAAAATATCATTTTGCTTTTTGCCCTGAATGATCCACGCTGGCCCTCTGCAGTGATTGGATTTGGTGGCTAATCGCTCAAGCCTCCACATCCCTCACGTTGCAGACAGATCATGTGAGGACGGGCCTGGCTTCACTTGGTAATTGCACAAGCGTTCGTCATCCCCTCTGGCTGCGTTGTAGAGGCAGTCTTAGGATGTAGACAAGAGCCTCCAGGGACTTGGTGGAGGCCCCACGTTGGTGTCATTTAAAATAAGACAGGCTAAAGCACCGAGTTGCAGACTGACAGGAACATTAGCCCCAGGAAACAGACAAGGAGACCTAATCTGTCATTTCCATCTCTAATTTCCATTATTCTCTGATCATCACTGTCTGCGAGGTCTCGTTTTGGACACTAATAAAATAATGGAGCAACTGTTAGGAGGGAAAAAAAGTGACTATCTTGGGGATAATGGAACCAGGAGTGATAAGCAGCATGGGTTTATATGTATATAAAAAAATGCCAGACAAAAGACGGCATTTTCCTCATAAAATGACAAGATAAATGAAAAGTGGAGGATGCCATACATCTTGATTTAAATCAGGGGTCTGATGCCACGTTTCTCTAAATGATTCTTACAAAATTAATCGAAATTGATTTGAACGTGAAGTCTGTCACTTGAATTGAAACCGGCCTGACAGATTGCCAGTTAATGATACGGATTGCGGTATTATGGAAAAATCGATGGCGGGCCTGATTTTCCTGAATATTTAATGTTCCAGAAGGTGAAGGTAAGCAGCATGTGTGGGTATTTATATTTTTCACCTAATATCCTTGTATTGCATACATAAAAATAGCTGAACATTCTTTTGAAGTAGAACAAGCAAATCCCAGGCCAGTGATATTTAAAATGAATTCCCTTGTGAAAAATCTAGGTTCATGTATGAGGAGAAAAGTAGCAATAAGCATTCATGACTTTCAGACAAGGAAGAAAATTGATTAAGGACATTAATACAAAAAATTACACCTGCAACTTTACCCAGCCTCTGCCTGGCGCTCCAGTTTACCGAGACCCGTGTGCGAGCGTGTGCACTTTGTGCACATGGCATGCTGCATATGCGTACATGGCGTAGCATGCGTGGTGTGTGCATATGTGTGTGAGTGAGCTGGTTTATTCGTACCAGCACACCATCATTTATGCTCTCAGTCATTCATGTTTTCAGTAAATACTCAACTTGATTACCTATTGTACCAGGGTAAGCTAGATTGCTAATTATAAGATGTGGTCTCTGCTCTGGAAGAACTAATAGTCTCGATAGATAATGGGCACATAACAAAAAAATGACAATGAATTCTAAAACCTATTAAAAGAAAGGTGTGAGCAAAGGTCTATGCGATTACAGTTTAAGGGGTGACTTAGGTGATGTCTAAGAACCTAGAACGGGACGTTGTGGAGAAGTTAGATTTTGAACTGTTCTATTTAACGGCTGACAAAGGTAAGTCTAAGCAAAGGGAACAGCATATGCCAAGGCCTGGAGACATAAGAAGCATGACTTCTCCAGGACTAGCAAATAAGTAGCCCAGTGTAGCTTAAGAGTGCAGTTTATAGAGACAGGAGAAGAGGCTGATAAAGTGGGTAAAGACTAGCTTTTGAGGAGTTCTTGCTTTCTAAGGCTTTGGACACTGAACTTCCATGTAGATGCCCCTAAAATTGTTAGCAGGAGGGAGAAGTCCCAAGGTGTCTGTGTATTTGGTGGGATAGTCCCTCCATACATTATCATTCTGGGCCCTTCAAAATAAAATAGGGCATCTGGGTGGTATAGTCGGTTAAGCATCTGCCTTCAGCTCAGGTCATGATCCCAGAGTCCTGGGATCAAGTCCCGCATCGGGTTCCTTGCTCGGTGGGGAGTCTGCTTCTCCCTCTGCCCCCCACCTTGTGATCTTTCTCTCTCTCTCTCAAATAAATAAATAAAACCTTTTTTAAAAATTAAATAAATTAAAATAACCCTAAAAAGAAAGCAAAAAGCAAAACAAACCCACTGAAAACCTCTAAATTTATATTTATCTGGATTCTGTAAGTAAAACATAGTCCTAAAAATTATTCTGTAGATGAAAGTTTTCTAGACCAAACAGCAAAGAATGACAGAATTGGGGACCATATGTGTAAGGCATGTGAGTCAAGGGGGTTGCAACCATTTTTTGGTGACTCCGGTTCTGCCAAAAATGCCCATGTTGAGAAAAGTGTGAGTGGATCTGGGAGGTGAAGCCAGCCAGTGCACCCAGGTGACAGGATCAGGTCACCAGTTGTAAAATTATTGAACTTACTACTCAAGAAGCTCCTATTCACTAAAAGTAAAAAATAGCTTCAAAAGGATTTAAACAAAGTCATGGATGACAGATTTCTAATGAGTTATTAAAAGAACACGAATGTTTGAGATTATATTTTTGGTCTTCGAGGTTGGCAACAAAATCAGTCATTTCCTGCCACAGCATCCCTGGTGACACAGTTGTCCCACAGAGGACCTAGGATATAAAAGGGCCCTACCCCAGCATGGGGCTTTACCAGGTCTTCTGTCTAACCTGCCATGAGTTCACTAGAAGCTCCTCAGCCTCCTATCCTGTGGCTTTACACAGACAGGGACTATTAGAGTATGTATCTAGTATTTGTTCGACAACAAGTACAAACTGAAAATTCTAACAAGAAATGAAACCAGTAAATGAGGGTGGAGGAGGCAAGAGAGATTGATTTACATGAACATATTAGAGGAGAAAAAAACAAATTTATTTAACTACTTTGGAGATTATTAAGAAAGGCTATCAGAAGTTTTTTGTTGTTAAATTAAAAGTGTGTCCCAAGGGCTTCTAGCTACATTGTTCAGAACACCACACTACATAAATTCATGCATTTGAAGATTCCCTCTAAATAGTAGTCTGATTTCTTATTCTGGCATCTCAGGTACAGAGGGCAACACCAAGGAGATTTCCCACTGAAGGACTCTCACCTATCCCTAGGTTTCGGTGAAGAGTTGTGATCAAGTGATAATTCATGAGACGGGAAGAGGTGGCTGTGGGAAATGAACAGGTGTTTCTCTACGGCTTTAGAAGCTGTTGTCAGGAATCAGAACCTTCTTTCACTGCCTACTCAGGAAACAACACGTTTACCATGGTAGCCCCAGATAAGGACACATGTGCGCATGCGCGGGCATGCGCATGTGCGCTCTTTCGCTCTCACACAGCCCCCGCCGCCTTAATCTGTCCCTTCCATTGTGCCAGGTGCTTCCTGTTCGCT